TGGTTAAATAACTTTAGGTTAATGTGTAGGGGAAGGGAAGGGGTACGGGGAGGAGGAAAGCATCGATAAGACCACGGGAGGTGCGATGGCCTCATGGTTAGTGCGCTCGTCTCCGAATCCAGCAGTCCGTGTTCGAGCCCTGGCCGGGGACATTGTGCTGTGTTCTTGGGCAAGAGACTTTACTCTCACAGTGCCTCTCTCTACCCAGGTGTATAAATGAGTACCGGCGATAGACTAGCATCCCATCCAGGGGGGAGTAGCAATACTCCTAGTCGCTTTATGCTACATAAATCGGGATAGGTTCCGACCTGGTGGGCCAGTTGGCTCGTATGCAGACTTTTTCTTTACCTTACAGGCATTCGGAAAGGCTGTACGTACTCTTGATGTGCAGAACCTGCTGGACAGTGCATGTTGCTGTTGTATATGTCTGTCTTAACTAGCACACATTTTAGCATTATAACATATATCGATTACAATTTACTAATAATTTTCGAAAAATAATTTCTATTTACAAGGCGTTCGGTCGACAGCATTTATGTTGTGGTTAGTATTCGTAATTTAAACCTGTTTCTGCCTATTATTGAGTGAAATTAATCAGAAAATCGACGAAGTGCCAGTGAAGTACAAATATTTGAATGGCTTGTAAAAAAACTTTCGGTTTTACCCCGAAATTGTCGTATAACTCCCCTGAATATCCGTGCATGGAACCTCCGTGATGGAACCTCAAATTTTGTAACAACATTGCTCGAGATATTATTACTGGCTATTAATTTGTTTGTTTGTTCTAGCGCTTTTGTACGCTTTTACGAACTAAAGTCCCGTGCCTTTGGTACACCAATAACACCATGATCCGAGTGATCTCAGATCATAAATCCTGATCCGAGAGTCCCAAAGAAACGCAACCACATAGGAAATAAAAGGAAACCCATGAATTGATTTTCCCGTGGTTGTCATGGCTAGCGTTACTGCTCGTGGGCGCGTACACAGATTGGTTTGTAGCGTCCCTCTTTGATATTAGACGTCCATGTTATGGTCAATTAACAAGGTATAC